CCCCAAAACCCCAAAACCCCAAAACCCCACTGTTGTCAAATATAAAAAATTCCAATAAATGAATTAAATCTTAAATTAACAGTTCAGAATATTGAGCACTTGCAATTAAGTTTGACTCGGTTATACAGTTCTCATCGTGATCAATTATTAAGGGATTATTTATCTTGCTTGCTAGATTGAGTCACCAAGAATGAAGGTTGAATCATGTTTGGAATGATACTAGGATTTCTAGTGTTGGGGATTATAGTACTGGAAGCAGAGTATCCTGGAGTTCCATATAATCCCTACTTCATCTCTAGAGATCCATCATTGATATGCTGAGTCTAAATTAAACTTCCGAGCTAATTTTGCTTTAAAGCCAACTTTTGAGAGGACATAGATTCAAAAAATCTGGTACCTGGCAAAGTAGCACTGCTGTTGGCTTGATCTTATGAAAGACCTAGCTGTGAAATACCTCCACCTGGATGCCCTTTATTATTTTAAGGCTTGAAGTACTTGGGCTAGAAGGAAAATTCACTTTAAAGAGAAGGGAAAATCTCTTTTTGTGATTCGATTGAGGAGTTCATTTGTTGCTCTACTTTTAAATTTGAAATATTGTTGTTACTAATGTTCTATTTTTAGATCAATTGGGTTTTATTCATTATCTACTATGATACTCTTCCGAAGGTTGGGCTAGTCATTTTGCCCAAACTGCTTGATTATTAAGAATTCTTGCTCTTTTTTAGATAGCTGTCAGTAGTTGATGAAGCGAATACCTAATTCTTCTAGGCGGCATTCCTACTCTGGCCCTATCCTAATTATTTCTTGATGTCATTTCCTTTTGCCTTATTTTGAATATTTACTTAAAGATTTAGATTTGATCTTTTATTGATTTGATTCTACGTTGAGAATATGTTTTCTTATTTAAATTCATTCTTTGCGCTTTGAGGTTGATTTACACCAATAATTTTTGAATCTAAATTTTTTCTTTCAAGAGAACCATATAAGTCTGATGTGATTTATTCCAGATTCTTAGATTTCTTTTAGTTTTTTACATTGGATTGAATTTCTAAAATTGGCTCTAAAAACTAGAAATCTTCAATTTTCATAGTTTAAGTTTAAGATATTTCAGCATTAGCATGAGATTTTCTTGCCTTATCAATCTTTGGTTTGTGGCCAAGCATATCGTTGCTCTCAATTCGAGTCTTGCTAGTGTTACTACTATGACTATTTCCATGTTTGATTCTATTCTAAACATCATCTTGAGTTAGTTTTAATTGATAGTTTTAATGATGTCTCACTTAATCAGAATCATAAATAGATAGTTGCTCAGTCTACCTTGTGTCCTAACCATACACCGAATATTCATCATTCTATCGCTTTAAATCATTTTTGGGTGAATTTTACTGTATCATTTTCTAAGCTTGAATAAGATAATTGTTCAATTTTTTCTCATTCATAATCCTCTGAGAATTCTTAACGTGAGCATTTTACTTTACTCCGAATGTCTAATAATCTTCAATCTGCTAATTTTATTCTGCAGAATGAATTTCACCATAACTTTTGATTTTAGGAGTCTCTTCAGAATCACTTTCATATTGGAATTCCTTTTGTGACTTGAAAGCTTTATTTGTGGATTGCTGTCGCTTTTAAACTAGAATATCTTGCAGTAATTTTGATTGATGAGATTGCTGACCTGAGAGTGCTGTAACATCGTCTTCTTCAAAATGCTTTATTGTTTACACCTACATTATTGGTTTAGAAAGATCAAGCGTGCTTTTAGACTCAAGAGCTTTTTGTTTCTGGTCTCCACAACAAAAGAGCCAACTCATCTAGCAAAATATTAATAACCCTCTTATATTTACCTCTAATATATTCCAATATTTATATAATTAATTAATGCTAATATTTTACGAAAAATAGATAATTTTTCATGAAGGGGTTTTGGGGTTTTGGGGTTTTGGGG